CCCTACCTCCTCACATTCACACCCATTTATTAAATACAAGCTAAAACCCCCCCCCCCCCCCCCCCCTAAAAAAAAATAAAAATAAAAAAAAAGAAATAAGAAAAATAAAATAAAAAATTGGTACCAACCATTATAATTGTTTAAGAGTCTAGTTATAATTAATTAAATTTATTCGTAATTATCTTATAATATTATGATCGATTATAAATAATTTTAAAAAATATAACTTAACTTTTAAAAATTATAATTTCTTCTTTATAAAAGTTGTAAATTTTTTAATTAATCGTAACATTTATTATTGTACTTTTATTTTCCAACTAATAAAAATATATCATTTTGTATTTTTTAATTAATAATTATAAATCATTCAATTTAAAATGACTAAAATTAATGGAAATAGATTTTCATTTGAATACTATAGTCCCTCCATTAAAACATTAGAAAATAACTCAAATTGTGACTCAATTGTTAATAAAGATGAACTGTAAATTAAGATGTTGAGTTCGAATTTTGGTAAAATTTTATGGTCAAATTACAAAGGATTTATTCTTAATGAATACTTTAATTTAGATATAAATTATTTAATTATAGAAAAAATTAATCAAGATGTGTCCATAAACTGGCTCGGATATTCGGACAGTTGAAAAAAAAAATTAGCAGAAAAATAAAAACAGCTTTTCGTTAGAGAGTGAACGTTCCTGGTCTTGGCTCAGCTGGACCAACCCTCTTTAGCTCCTGGTTCCAAAAATAAACAAATCCCATTCTGCCACGTATCCAATGGACCTCGACGACCTCGTGTCGCCACCGTCCGATTTCGCACCGACTACGTCACCCAATCATCCACTCGACAAGTGTCCCTAACTTTACCGCTTATAGCCGGTTCAGTAGGGTTACCCACCGGTGCAGCCGGTTACTCATCTCTCCAATTCCCGCTAGGTATATAAATGCGATCGAACTCTCTGTGCAATCACAGTTCCGAAGACGTTTTAACGAAACGTCTCTTTTGCTAGCTCGCAGTTTCAAGGTTCGTAGCAGTTCTTTACACTTTTATTTTCAGTGTTTTTAATTAATTTTTTTGTTGAATTTTAGTGTTCGAGCGATCCTATATCTATGAAGTTTCCATATTCCAAAAAATTGTCTGTGCTTTTTATTTATTTATTTATTTTGTATTTGGGATCTGTATTCATGAATTGGTGCTTAGTCTTGATTTGATTTTAGAAGGAATGACTTACAACGGGTTGAGCCTTTGTAGATATCTCATTAAGTATTCTAATTCTGAACAATATTGAGTTCGATCGGTTTTTGCGATTCTGTGTGGCTGAATAGAGTTTGGGTTTGATTTGCTTAATCGAAGAGTTGTGTGGAACTTATTCCTGTAATTGGCGGATTTCTTTGCTATTATGACTTTGTACTAAAGCAATTTTTGGGGCTTTGTTCATACTAGAAACCTCTTTGTCCTCGGTAAGGTGCGTGAAAATTAGGGTTTGACTGGAGCTAATTAGGGGTTTTATAGTACTTACCCAAAGAAATTAATGACATTGACTTTTGGATGAAGTATAATTACAAAGCAAATTTGGTGTTTTGAGATGGTCTTTTGTTTTGTGAATAATATCTTGGGCTTGCTACGTTTTGCGTGCTTCTGTATCCGGGTTTCTAGCTGCTGAGGTTTTGGTTTCCTATTTTTTTAAAAAATATTGTGTAGGTCCTTGCTTCAAATTTACAGAAGTTACATGGTTTAGAACATCGAGACAATTGGGTCACAGAAGAAATTATAGATTTACCGTTTCCGATTGATCGCAACTGAGTTTGATGGTACAAAGAACAAGTTTTCATTGTGTTTTTGGTTTGAGTGGGAGATACATCTAGTAAATCATATTGTTTTGGGATTTTCCAGGTTTGTATTAAGGTGGTTTTGCATGAGACTGATGGCAGAGTTCCATTTGAGTAGGGGTTGTGCCTATTTGCTTATATAGAGTGCTAAAGGCCTGGCACTCTATAGCTACTTGGATACCAACCACCAGGCGGCGGTGCCGCCCACAGTGCCTTTTCGGGTGGCTGGAGGAATGTCACATTCTTCTTCAAGTTCTGGCATCTTTTTCCAAGGAGATGCACAGTCTCAGATTGTAGGGAACTCTAACTTGAGTTCGTCTTTTGGGAACTCGTCAAATTCAATTCCTGGAAGTGCACGTTCAAACTTGGGACCAGTTTCTGGAGACATAAGTAATACAGTCTTGAACAGCGTGGCCAGCTCAGGGCCAAGTGTTGGGGCAAGTTCGTTGGTCACGGATGCCAACTCAGGACTATCAGGAGGTCCCCATCTCCAGAGAAGTGCCAGCATCAATACAGAGTCTTACATGCGATTACCTGCGTCACCCATGTCGTTCTCCTCAAATAATATAAGCATCTCAGGCTCATCAGTTATGGATGGCTCATCTGTAGTGCAGCAGAGCTCCAATCAAGATCCGAACTCCCAACAAGTGCAGCAAAGTCAGCTGCATCAAGGGGCTTCTAGTGCCACATCCTTGCCCACATCACGGATAGGACAAGTTCCACTTTCCATTGGTCAAAGGGTCCCTGGGTCCTACATTCAGGAGCCCAATAATACGTCCCAGTTGCAGAAGAAACCCCGATTGGATATTAAGCAGGAAGATATACTGCAACAGCAAGTTTTGCAACAGCTTCTGCAAAGACAGGACTCCATGCAGTTACAAAATCCCAATCCTCAGTTGCAAGCTGCGATACAGCAGCAGAGACTAAGGCAACAGCAGCAACAATTGCTACAGTCTATGCCCCCAGTGCAGCGAGCCCATATGCTGCAGCAGCAGCAGCAGATGCAATTGAGACAGCAACTTCAACAACAGGGCATGCAGCCTATATCATCGATGAAGCGCCCGTATGATGGTGGTGTATGTTCTCGTCGGCTGATGCAATATTTATATCATCAGCGGCAGCGGCCACCTGTGAGTAGAATTCTTACCAACTGCAGGGCATTCTTCTTTATTCGTTTTTTCTGTTTCTTTTTCTTAGATTTTTAGTCCATACAGATTTTTATTTTATGTGGGAATGGGCTTAATCAATCTGTGTCTTTTTGCATTATATGATTTTTTTTCCTCCACTAAAGTTGATTTGGGAGATCTGGGGCTTGTCTTACAATGATGACATTTAATTATCAACAGGACAATCCTATTGCATACTGGAGGAAATTTGTGGCAGAGTATTATTCTCCCCGTGCAAAAAAGAGGTGGTGCTTGTCATTGTATGATAATGTTGGGCATCATTCACTAGGTGTATTCCCGCAGGCAGCCATGGTTAGTATTTTGGTTGTTTATATGCTATTCTTATGGATAGAAGAGTATTACTTTTGTATGTTTTCTTTCTTCTCTTACTTTTTTTATTATTATTTTTAATCAGGATGCATGGCAGTGTGACATTTGTGGTTCAAAGTCTGGAAGGGGATTTGGTAAGTGAATTAGGATTTTGTTTACCATTGAACACCATTCCTCGATTCTTTTCTATCTTGTTGCTACGTTTGGGGTGTGTGTTTATTGTATTGTTGTATCACTTGATACTTTTAATTCAGTAGCTTGTCCTTCATAGGTTGACCTCGAAATGAATCTACCAAGAACCACATTTAGGGAGAAAAGAGCATACTTACGAGTAAATTTACATGTTTTATTTGCAATTCACATGGTGGGTAAAATTTGTGTCTAGGGACCCAGTAAAATGTCTAAGCAATGTGGATGTATCATCTGCTATTCGTTTAATATGAACGTCTTGAAGTGCTCACATGGGGTAGCCCAGTTGGTTGGAGGCTCTAATACTAAGTCGGATGTTCTAAGTTCATCTCCTGGTCTATTCGTGTTGTGTGGCCCTCAGGGCATATAGGGGATGGTGAAACTCTACCTCCTAAAGGGTGACGATATAGAGTACCCCTAACAAGCATGGACACGAACATGGGACACAGATACGATACGACACGGACACACCGACATGATATTTCTAAAAAAAGTAGGACACGGACACGTTACAAAAAAAATTATATTTTATATACAACATTTTATAATTTATTGCAAATATAGTGATAATGATATATAATTTATAAAAAATTCAGTATTTTATGATAAGTAAACTTAATGCCTAGTTATCTGTATAAATTTTTAGACTAAAACATCTTCATTATAGTCAATAATCATCAAAATTTTTTTGTCGACAATGCGTACCTAATATATAATTTAAATAATATTCGTCTTTTGTTTTTATTATTATAATTGGAGTATAACATTAATATGTCTAGTATTAGTAATTATATGTTCTCGAATTTTTAAACTTTGTTAATCACATTTCAATATATGTCGATTGTTTAGTGGTAGACACGTTTTAAAGAAGTGTCCGACACGTCACCAAAGAAGTATCCGACATGTGTCCAAAATTAAAAAATTTTCATTTAATTATGGACACGGATAAGAGAGTATCGGACACGTGTCCGAAGAGTGTCGGTGTCCAACACGAATACGTCATTTTCTCGAGAGTGTCCGTGCTTCATAGGAGTACCCCAATGCGCCCCCCCCTCCCCCGTACCAAAAAAAACCCTTATCTTTATTATAAACAAAAAAAAAATCTACTTTGTAAATTTCTGATATCCCGTTGGTTTCATGTTGTGGAAGTTCACAGATTTGACATTCATGGTGAATGAAAAGATGTGTAAAAAATGGGAGGCCCATGCACAAAGATTGCGTCAAACTGGGGACGGGGGAGGGTTGATGTACGTTGGCATAACATGCTTTCGTGAAAGAAAAGTACCATAAGATTTTTGTAGAAGTCATATCATATAATGTACTCGGCTTGCATTCATACATGACAATGCATTTTAATGATGTACTAACGAATATATAAGGATATACCGCAGTTGATAATTATATTCTAGCTGTCAGATGAATTATTTTCTATTGCGTCCTCAAGTCCTGCATTGAACTGAAGATGTGGCAGAAGTTAGTCAATTTCTGTTTGAATTCTTGGCATTACTTTTTTAGTCATTCTCTTGCTTTTCCTTATAGTTTTGAAACTAGTTTGTTAGTGGTGGATCATATTTATGCTTGTTTATGGTTTGCACTTTTTTGGATGACAAACCTCAACGATCTGATTGCTTGTTACTTCGTTGTGGCTGACATTAGATAAAAGTATTTGTGTCGCATGTTCTTGAATTGGTGTGTTTTCCATGTATAGTTCTTGTTGAATGATTGGCAATCTTTGTCCTTAGTTCATAAGTTGTAGCATGTCACTGGCTTTAACGTTTTTCAGGACATAAATCTTTCTTTCTTATTTGTCACATAGAGACCGTACAGTTTCATTTGACTTTACAACGAATTGTTTTTCATAAATGTATTGATCGGATTATTATGTGTGATCTAACTTGTCTTCTCTCTTTCTTGTGCGGTGTCTGTCAACAGAGGCAACTTTTGAAGTACTCCCCAGACTTAATGAAATCAAATTTGGCAGTGGAGTCATTGACGAGCTTTTATTTTTGGACTTGCCACGGGAATGTAGATTTCCTTCTGGAATAATGATGCTGGACTATGGAAAAGCAGTTCAGGAGAGTGTATATGAGCAACTTCGTGTGGTGCGTGAGGGTCAGCTCCGTGTCATTTTCACGCCTGATTTAAAGGTTAATATCTTGATGCCAATTTTGAAGTTTTTTAGTTTCCCTGATCAGTGCCGTAATTTTTAAGACTTTCGTGCTGCATGTCTTTCAGATTTTATCTTGGGAATTTTGTGCACGACGCCATGAAGAACTTCTTCCTCGCAAGTTGGTCGCACCACAGGTACCCACTTTGCATTTTTTTAGTCTTGTTCTAATAGGTTAATGCTGTGATTTAGTTAAATGTGTTTTTATCAAGTGTGAAGTTTGTTTTTCTCACTTCTTTACCTTTTTTAGAGCTTGTATATGCCCGTCATTTATCATTATCGTAGGAAACCGCTTAATGAGAATGCAAAGAATCCAGTGAAAAAGACCCTAAGTTCTTTACTGAGGCTAGAAATGGCCTTCAATATATGAGTTTCAATTATTCAACAAACAAAAAAAGAGGATAGAGATCAGCTGCACCTTTTCCTAAGAATTTCATCTCTTTAGCTGATTTAGGCACCAAGCCGATTTTAGATTTTGTTTGGGTACTCTCCTTTCTCTCTCTCTCTATCTGACGAAGAGTATGTGCCAGCAAAAATGTAGGGGTTGCAAAAATTTTTTACATTGTTGCATATTTCAAATAAAAAAAAAGTGGGGAGGTTGTTAAGGTGTGTGGACTGCCATTGGGAGTTTACTTTCAAGTTATTTTGTGTCCTTCTCCCATGTAGGGCCATGTTATATCATTTTGATTATCACAATATCTGTTATTTTCTCCTTTCTAGTTTTTCATTCTCTTTGGAAAATTTTCGTTGGTGAATGGTGTTAACATACTTGGGAGGACTCTGCATTTCTGCTAGCTTAGCTGCTTCATTAGGTAGCTAGCAATGTGGCTTGCTTTCTTTGCCCTTGAACTCTGACGATTTATTTTGTACACCCCAAAAGTAAGGGAATAATAGTTATTCACCATGTCATCATGTCAACTTCATCCAAATTTCAGTCTGACTATTGCTGGTGGTCGCTCTTTTTGGTTTTGAATGTATTTCTAATCTCCCTGTCACCTATCTAAAGAAAAAATGGCTATTGTCAAATATAAAATTGTTCTCCAGCTTATGTTTAGGTTTTTGATGGCCTAGGTTCAAGTCTTTTATTGCCTGTGTTTTTTGTTTAGAGCAGGGAGGTGTCAGGAATTGAATTTTTATTTCCTTGTGTTTGATTTCCCTGACCCCAGAAAAGTAGAAAGAAATTTTAGTGTTTATTTACATACTTGTGACCATAAGCAACTTGATTTTCTGTTACAAAGGAAGATTGGGATGATAGACAAATGGAAGGAAAATGGGAGGCCTGGATAGTGCTACCTTCCAGATATACGGTGATTAACATCAACAACTTGATATCCTTAAAATCCCTTATAGACAACCAATCATGAGTTCCCAACTATCAGAGATGGAGTTCAAACCGTTGGACAAATCAAGAATAGAACATAGTATGATATTGTATTAAGGAAATGAATCATGCTTGCTGGATTGTAAACACGTTATAGGACAATGAGTCGTATAGATTGAAGTGGTGCTGAATATCTTGACATGAAACTAAACAACTGGGGCCACCCTATCTTTTGTATCTTCTTAATGGCACAGTAGGTGACATACAGATCTTGAGTTAAACTGTGGGTGGCAGCCGTGTTGTGTTGTGTCGTGTCAATCGCGTGTTCGGGTCATATACACCTCAACTCAAACACGACCCATGAGTTAATCATGTCAGGTAATCCTAACACGAACACAAACTGATTGTAACACGAATAACCCGACACAACCTGTGTAACACGATTAATACACACACACAACACGATAAAAGCGCCTAATACGAACTGCCTAACAAGATTTATTAACATGTTTAGCCACTAACCAATTACTTATTTTAGGCCTATTTAACATAAATTATACTCAAAAAACATATTCAACATAAATAAACACATTTTATCCATGTCATCCACATTTTGAACCTGTTTAACATATTCAAACAAAAATATATATATATATATATATATTTAACATAATAAATAGATATTTCATTCCTGTTGTTGGTTCAACCACATCCCAATCTCAAGTCTCAACCAATATTTTGCCATTAGTCCTAAACAAAAACATAAACATGTTAAAGTGACACGTGTTAATATAGACATGTCTGTCAATTTCACATTACAAAAGCCCATGAATGTGCATATCTTAGACAAATGAAGTCCCAAAAACAGCCAAACTAAGTCTTGACATAAAAACAGTCATGCCAACATTACAAAAGCATATGCATATTTCAAACATCTCAAAAACTGTAACCCATCAAATATCTTCCAAGTCCTCTTCATCTTCTAACTCAGCCAACATCTAGCCAAAATACATCAAGCTTCAAACCGTCATGATCAACTATCACATTTGAACATTGCACTGATTTGACCTCATTTTTGTTCAGAGTCGGATTCATTACATCTTCCATAAGCTCTTTCAGGCATCACGAATTCAACCCCTAATGCTGTGCATTTTCATCAGTTTCGAAAAATTTTTGTTGTTGCATGTGCCAGTGGAGGAGTTTCGTCAGTTTAGTGTATGTTTGTAGTTTTTTTTCTCTCCGAACTCTCTCAAGGTCATGTCCAAAAGGATTTTTTATTGGCTAATTGAATCATGTTTCACCATTTTGCTAGATGTGGCCATAGTAATGTAACATTAAGTTTAAATCAGCCCACTCATTATTTTTATTTCTTTTCTTTTCCTTTCTTGGTCTTTTGAACTACAATGAGATGATAGGAAAAACTTCTGAAATTTGAAACTTAAATTCATGAAACATACGTTTTTCTGCAGGTGAATCAGTTGCTACAGGTTGCACAGAAATGCCAAAGTACAATTGCTGAAAGTGGACCTGATGGGGTTTCTCAGCAGGATTTACAGACTAACAGCAATATGTGAGTTATTTAAACATTTACTCTTGTTATCTGAGTGCATTGTGTTAGGATGAAATCCTTTTTGCCTCTTTGGTTGATTTTGTATAACTTTCTGGAGTCTGTACCATGTTTACGCTGAATGTTGTTACCTGGGAATCAAATACATTTCTTCAAGTTAGAGTATTGATGATATTTGAACACCATCACCACCTAATACATAACCTTAAGGGGGCTGAACATACTTCCGAAGCGTAATGAGTTTATGTGCAATTCTACCTAACCATTGGGGTAGAATGCAATTACTTAGAATAATGATCATTTTCTTCTGGGTTTAATATGGTATGAGGGGATTGGTCTGATTTTGTTTTTGCTGGACATAGCTTTGCTGTTGAAATCATTTGAATGTGGTATAAGTTGATACAATCAGGAGTTTGAAGTAGTAACACTACNAAATATATATATATATATATATATTTAACATAATAAATAGATATTTCATTCCTGTTGTTGGTTCAACCACATCCCAATCTCAAGTCTCAACCAATATTTTGCCATTAGTCCTAAACAAAAACATAAACATGTTAAAGTGACACGTGTTAATATAGACATGTCTGTCAATTTCACATTACAAAAGCCCATGAATGTGCATATCTTAGACAAATGAAGTCCCAAAAACAGCCAAACTAAGTCTTGACATAAAAACAGTCATGCCAACATTACAAAAGCATATGCATATTTCAAACATCTCAAAAACTGTAACCCATCAAATATCTTCCAAGTCCTCTTCATCTTCTAACTCAGCCAACATCTAGCCAAAATACATCAAGCTTCAAACCGTCATGATCAACTATCACATTTGAACATTGCACTGATTTGACCTCATTTTTGTTCAGAGTCGGATTCATTACATCTTCCATAAGCTCTTTCAGGCATCACGAATTCAACCCCTAATGCTGTGCATTTTCATCAGTTTCGAAAAATTTTTGTTGTTGCATGTGCCAGTGGAGGAGTTTCGTCAGTTTAGTGTATGTTTGTAGTTTTTTTTCTCTCCGAACTCTCTCAAGGTCATGTCCAAAAGGATTTTTTATTGGCTAATTGAATCATGTTTCACCATTTTGCTAGATGTGGCCATAGTAATGTAACATTAAGTTTAAATCAGCCCACTCATTATTTTTATTTCTTTTCTTTTCCTTTCTTGGTCTTTTGAACTACAATGAGATGATAGGAAAAACTTCTGAAATTTGAAACTTAAATTCATGAAACATACGTTTTTCTGCAGGTGAATCAGTTGCTACAGGTTGCACAGAAATGCCAAAGTACAATTGCTGAAAGTGGACCTGATGGGGTTTCTCAGCAGGATTTACAGACTAACAGCAATATGTGAGTTATTTAAACATTTACTCTTGTTATCTGAGTGCATTGTGTTAGGATGAAATCCTTTTTGCCTCTTTGGTTGATTTTGTATAACTTTCTGGAGTCTGTACCATGTTTACGCTGAATGTTGTTACCTGGGAATCAAATACATTTCTTCAAGTTAGAGTATTGATGATATTTGAACACCATCACCACCTAATACATAACCTTAAGGGGGCTGAACATACTTCCGAAGCGTAATGAGTTTATGTGCAATTCTACCTAACCATTGGGGTAGAATGCAATTACTTAGAATAATGATCATTTTCTTCTGGGTTTAATATGGTATGAGGGGATTGGTCTGATTTTGTTTTTGCTGGACATAGCTTTGCTGTTGAAATCATTTGAATGTGGTATAAGTTGATACAATCAGGAGTTTGAAGTAGTAACACTACTAGATGCTCAAAAATGTTTTCCTCAGCTACATCAGGGTGGATTTTAGTTTCGAGAAGTTCCTTTTATAAATTTATTCCAACAAAAAGGGTGATATCTTGTCTCCAATCCTGAACAAGGTTAAACAAATAATTTGTCTTAACATTGATGAAATTTCTTGTCAGAAACAATTGAGCATCCTGTTCCATTATTTTCTTGCTCTACTATTGTACCATGATTGAGCCCTATAAATCATTGTTCCTAAGAAATTTCCTTTTTTTTAGACGTTTATATTTGCAACCAGCCATTTTGACAGTTTCACAGTGTGAGAGGGTGGGGTGTGTGTCATGCGACTGATGCAAGCTAGCCCCCTTATTATTGTGTTGAATCCTAATATGGATGTCTTACATGGAGTAAGACCCTAATTTTGGTTTCGATGAATAATTTACCTCTAATACTTTGTTAGCATTCATGAAGAATGTGTAGTCAATTATGATTCTAATTTACTTTGTTTAGCAGACGAGATATTCTTTGCTCATTAGCAGACAATAACTGATTCTTGTTGCGGCCTGGTTGTGACACATTAATGATGATTGTTCTACCTCAGGGTTGTTACAGCAGGGCGTCAGCTTTCCAGGAGTTTGGAGTTACATTCACTCAATGACTTGGGGTTTTCCAAAAGATATGTGAGGTGCTTACAGGTATGTTTCTACATTTTTCCTGAACCTAATTTCTGATAAAAATTGATCTGTTGTTTTTGCACTCCTTTCAGTTTTCTTACATTTGCGTGCCCCTATTTGTAACAGATATCTGAGGTCGTAAATAGCATGAGAGACTTGATGGATTTTTGCAGAGAACACAAAGCTGGGCCTATTGGTAACTAATTTGCTGCTGTTGTGAACACATGTTTGTCACTTGATGATCACTTGACCTTTGATGCATATTTAGTCTTTTCATAGTTCTTCTGGCTCCATTATATTTGCTTTGCAATAAGGATCATTTCTCGTTTATCCATCTTGGTGGTTTCACAATGCCTTCAGATTTGCATGAATGGCCAAAACAGTTATCCATCTATTTGACTCTGTTTTTGACTGGATCTTATAAGTTGATGAATTTGCAGAGGGCTTGAAAACTTTTCCTCGACATTCGACAGCAGCCAAGGTTCAGCTGCAGAAGATGCAGGAAATGGAGCAGCCGGAAAGTATTCAGGGTCTGCCAACTGATCGCAACACTCTCAACAAGCTAGTAGCATTACATCCTGTACTTAGCAGCCAAATGAGCAATAATCATCATATGGCCGGTCGAGGATCTTTAAGTGGCTCAGCTCAGGCTGCTCTAGCACTGACAAACTACCATAGTCTACTTATGAGACAGAACTCGATGAATTCAAACTCGAATTCACTTCAACAGGAGTCATCATCTTTTAATAATCCTAATCAGAATCCATCCGCAGCATTTCAAGGGTCTGCTGCTATACTGCCCCGGACTATGCAGAATTTACCAGTTGGTGGCTACTCCAGTTCCCATCTACTTCGGCCACATCAGCAACCGCAGCGTTCACTGAGTAGTAATGGTTTGCTCCAACAAAACCATCCACAGCCTTCCCAAGGCAGCCAATCTCTACAACAGCACATGATGCAGCAACTGCTGCAGGATATGAACAATAACAATGGTGTTGGAATGGTACAACAGCAGTTCCTTGCTGGGCAGAGTGCTAATGGGAGTATGACAAGGGATGGAGTAGGGTTTGGAAGCAACACTGCATCAGCAACTGCAGGCCCAGTCAGCGGACCAGGGGGTGGTGTTGGACACGCCCCGAGCAGAAGCAACAGTTTCAAAGCTCCTTCGAACAGTGACTCTTCTGCGGTTGGTGGCAACAATGGTTTAAGCCAGAAAGCATCAGATTTACCACAGAATATTCATTTAGCGGACGATCTGGTTCAGGATATTGCCCAAGAGTTCACAGAAAATGGATTTTTTAGCAGTGACCTTGATGATGATATGACTTTTGGCTGGAAGGCATGACTTTACATAGATTGATCCTGTTTCAGTGTACTGGCATATACCCCTCTGTGTACAGTTTGTTTGAATTAGCTCCCTTTTTCTTTTTGTTTCGTTTGGTTTCTATTTCCTATTTTGCTCTACGTATTTACTTGTGGAGTTTGTTGTGATTTCAAGACTAGTACCCCAGTAGGTGTCTAGTTTTAATTCCTCCCCCCCCACCCCACCCCTGGCGGGTGTTTCTCCGTCGGTTTTCTGTCACCGATGTCTTGCAAGTGTAATTTACGAACATAAACTTGATAACGTCTCTTGAACGCTATTAATACATCTTTCATTTCTTGGTTTTTATATAATCAATTGGATTGTACTACTGAGTGAATATTATACAAACACTTTGTGAAATAAAAAGATACAAGGATCAACGAATGTAGTATTTGGGTAGAGATTTTCAATATTTGGGTTGAGTTTTGTGCAAAAAAAATTTAAAATCAAATTAAATGTGAGAGTAAACAGGTTGGAGTCTCGGCTTCTTAAGTCTGAATCCGAATTCACCGACTTGTGTTCAATCTAAGTTATGAAATCTGAGAATCAAATTCCAATTCCACAGCAAAGCCAACCAGAATTGGTTTTGTATTTCAACCCAATGTGTTACTCGAGATTAAGCATTAATCTCATCCCAAATTGAACCCTAATACCAACGCAGGTTTTGCTACACCAGAGTCAGAATTGATTATCGAACTATTATTAAACTCGGGTGACCTGCCAATCCATCAAACCCGTTCGAATTACACCCCTAATCAAGCCTCTTTTAAATTTTAAACCAAACAATCTACTTGAAAATTTGTTTGAACAAATATTAAAAACATTCCTGCACACAACATCATTCTACAAGGAAATATCTACATAACATAAAATTTGTATTGCTCAGACAAATATGTTAGCAGAACATGAAGGAGTAAAAACAATTACAAATGAAAAGCAAATTGCTTTGCTTCAAAAACTACTGATAGTGGACCATAAAAATATAATCAAACTGGCCAATTATTGACTACAAAAAGGTTATCTGCATATTGAAAACTGCTTCAACCTCTCTCCAAACTCACTGGGGTATATAAACACAGAATCTAAGCAAAGACCACCTTTTGTGTGGGTGCAATCAATCTGGGTCATCGAGAACTTAATCTTCATCGGAATGTTCGAGTCCTCGACGAAGAAATCTCCGACATGGTGATTGATCCACCTCCCTGGTTCGTTCAGGTAACACTGTGATATGGCATGCTGACCGTTGGATGTGGATAGATGGAACCGGACAGGTTTTATGCTCCAGCCATGGACTCGCTCGAGATTACAGACCGGTCGGCCGAGCCTTTTTGAGGGCTTTCCGAGGTGTAGCCGGAAGAAGAGGCTGTAATTCCCTGCTGGGAATTCGAATTCTAGGTTTCCATCTACTTCTAGCCACCATATCTGTTGAAGATATGCAACTGTGTGGAATCTACACATAGTAATATTCTATATAAAACATCTGAATCTACTGTCCCATAAAAAATTTAGATTTAGATTTAAGTCCAAACAAAATATTTTAACTTGAGTGAATTGGACTTATTAATTCAACTGAACAAATTAAAAGAGTTTAAAATTCAATTTTTTTTTGAAAACAAAAAGAAAAAAAAGTGAACAATAAAACTAAAGCTACTGCAAATTAAATCTTAATCACCCAATTCAAATTTAAAATCATAATATTTCAATCATTCTCCCCCTCTCTTCTCTCTCCTCTCTCAGTGGGAGCAATGAAACAGCCTAGGTCATTGTTAGATATGCCATTGGTTGGGCTTTTATCAAACTTGGTTTCGAGGCATCTATACCTTTTAATGACCAAAAGAACAGATAAACCTTTTCTCTCTAGAAAACAAATGCAAATAAATTAATTAATCCCATTTTGACTCTGAGGTGCTGCCCCCTTGTTAGTTTTTTTTTTTTTTNTCGGGTGACCTGCCAATCCATCAAACCCGTTCGAATTACACCCCTAATCAAGCCTCTTTTAAATTTTAAACCAAACAATCTACTTGAAAATTTGTTTGAACAAATATTAAAAACATTCCTGCACACAACATCATTCTACAAGGAAATATCTACATAACATAAAATTTGTATTGCTCAGACAAATATGTTAGCAGAACATGAAGGAGTAAAAACAATTACAAATGAAAAGCAAATTGCTTTGCTTCAAAAACTACTGATAGTGGACCATAAAAATATAATCAAACTGGCCAATTATTGACTACAAAAAGGTTATCTGCATATTGAAAACTGCTTCAACCTCTCTCCAAACTCACTGGGGTATATAAACACAGAATCTAAGCAAAGACCACCTTTTGTGTGGGTGCAATCAATCTGGGTCATCGAGAACTTAATCTTCATCGGAATGTTCGAGTCCTCGACGAAGAAATCTCCGACATGGTGATTGATCCACCTCCCTGGTTCGTTCAGGTAACACTGTGATATGGCATGCTGACCGTTGGATGTGGATAGATGGAACCGGACAGGTTTTATGCTCCAGCCATGGACTCGCTCGAGATTACAGACCGGTCGGCCGAGCCTTTTTGAGGGCTTTCCGAGGTGTAGCCGGAAGAAGAGGCTGTAATTCCCTGCTGGGAATTCGAATTCTAGGTTTCCATCTACTTCTAGCCACCATATCTGTTGAAGATATGCAACTGTGTGGAATCTACACATAGTAATATTCTATATAAAACATCTGAATCTACTGTCCCATAAAAAATTTAGATTTAGATTTAAGTCCAAACAAAATATTTTAACTTGAGTGAATTGGACTTATTAATTCAACTGAACAAATTAAAAGAGTTTAAAATTCAATTTTTTTTTGAAAACAAAAAGAAAAAAAAGTGAACAATAAAACTAAAGCTACTGCAAATTAAATCTTAATCACCCAATTCAAATTTAAAATCATAATATTTCAATCATTCTCCCCCTCTCTTCTCTCTCCTCTCTCAGTGGGAGCAATGAAACAGCCTAGGTCATTGTTAGATATGCCATTGGTTGGGCTTTTATCAAACTTGGTTTCGAGGCATCTATACCTTTTAATGACCAAAAGAACAGATAAACCTTTTCTCTCTAGAAAACAAATGCAAATAAATTAATTAATCCCATTTTGACTCTGAGGTGCTGCCCCCTTGTTAGTTTTTTTTTTTTTTTCATGGGTGTTCTAAGACTTTGATTAATTCTTTTTTCGATTCAATTAAAAATAAATTATTCACGTCGGGACAAGAGTAATTATGAAAAATAAATTTCTCATGATCTAATTTAAAAAAATTATCAAAATTCAAATTATTAGACTAATAATCAAGACTCATCGTTATGCCATAAACTTTGACAATTTTACACCGAATTCCATCATTTAAGGACGTTTGTATCTAAGGTTATAATTACTCTAGAAGTTCTGACAGATAGGCCCGCCACTACATGTAAGCTTTTTGATTGGGTGGTGATGATATTCCTTGGCAGCATCATTATCCCAAACTGGATGACACACTAAAAAAAGTGTATTCTATGGCCATATATTCTACTATCTTGGAAGTCAATATTGGAATAAGAATAGAATTTATTACATTAAAAGTCGTTAGGGTTTTTCATCATATTATTGGGTCACTAGAATGTGGGAAATAACACTATCATCATTGGGAGGTTTTCCATTCACAACCAAACATAAAAATTAAAGAATCTCCGATCATGATTTAAATTTAAATTTAAGTCTAAATGGTCTAAAAAGCTTCTCCAACCTTGAACCCAAACCTATATCAAATTAATAAAAAAAAAATTTGAACCCAAATTGAGGAAGACCCAAATCTTATACTAAATTTTCAACGACAACTTTTTATCCTATCCAAACCAAACCTAAAAGACTCCTTCAACACCAGACTACCTACCTCTCCTATTTGTTTCAACTTTCAAGTTATAGTTTAATATTCATTGGTTTTTTATGAAGTTTTTATGAGGAGCGCATGAATTTTTGGAGGAAATGAAAGGATTTGGAGGGAATGAGACAGAAATGAGATAGAATAATAGATTTTGGTGGAAAAATTAATAAAAATGAGTTTTGGGATAATAAGAAAATTTTTTAAAAGTATTGAGTAATTGTTTGAGTTTACCCATTAAAGTACTCCATATCAAATCAAGTTTTTGACTCAAATTTGAGTTTAAATTTGGAGATGCTCTAATACTATTTGGATATAAAAATTTAATATAATTTATTGACATAATGATGTGATTTCGGTAAAATCATTAGATTAACATAAAATTTCAATGTTTGATATACCCACAGTCAATCCAAAGATTATAGTGAATTAAATTAGCAAATTAGATCAATAAATTAGTTCCAACAACATTGCTCAAAATTAAATCTCTTAGTTAGCCACCGTCAACCTCCAACCATTACAGCCCCACAACCATCATTACACACCACAACACGAATACAACCAACATCCAAATCTATCACCCGGATCACCACACCCTTATATCCATCACCACCTCATGCACCAAAGCGACCACCTGAACCTCATCAAGCATTCAAGCCACCGTTGTACCCATAACCACCATTCACTATCATCCATTGTCTTCTTCTTTCTAGGCCACCACGGAACCCATAAAAACACACTATACAAATCGAACCCAACTCGTATTGAACCAACAACTAATACCAATTCGAATTAAGTTTTGAAGAAATTGGATATTTCATAGAATTGTAGAGAGGGAAAGGAAGGTGGTGGCTATTTTTGAGCGATGGCGAGGACCGATGTAATGTATACATAGTGCAATAAAAAGTGGGTAGGGGTGGAAGGCTAGTTCGGGGGTTCTAGTCTTCTAGAAGGTTTGGGGGTTGAGAGAGGTTAGGGGATACAAAGAAGACAACATGCATTCAAATGCTTATGTTTCAAAAAAGTCACTTACTGGGGGTTGTAGTGTCAATATTCATACTTGAGGGGTATTTGTGATATTAGGATAAATCTCAAGGGTCTAGGTATAAGTAATCTCACATTTATGTATGAATGTATAAAAATAATAAATTTCACATACGACGATAAAGAGACTTGCTGTGTAAAATATAATAGCATGAAAATATCAGAATCATATCGCTTGCCAAGTATAATAATAATAATAAAGCCCTAGAAGTAGAAGGCTTAAAAAAAAGAGCAAAAAAGAAAAGAAAAAAGTTCAACGCAAGGATTTGAGTTGTTGAAAATATCGAACCTGGATTCATCGGTTGGGATATGATTCCAGTACCTCCGATCATCTATACCCGTTATTTTCATACCCTTCCAAGAAATAGAAACACACAACCCTCCTCTACCTTTCTCCAACCAAACCTCCTGCAACAAGACAACCTATATGTGTTACATTCCCTTCCCACCCAAGAACAAGATTTCTTTAACGACCCAGAACAAACAAACTCATAAAGAAAAAAGCAGAGAAAGTGCCTCTGTGTGTGTGTGATAAAGGGTGGCAATCTTCATGTCAGCAACCAACGAAAATACATACCTATTAACAAAGATGAGGTAAGGGCCAGGCCAAGGGGTTTATGTGTGTGTGTGTTAGAGAGAGAGAGAGAGGATGGGTTATGAGAGCTGAGCGTGCGGTTGTGGTAGCCCAAACAAGTCTCAACACATACACACAGAGAGAGAGAGAGAGAGAGACCTTAGAGCCACCATCAAAGCGATTGGGACGGCACAGCTTAGCATAAAGTTCTTTCTTAGCTAGACTCTCAGGACTTTCATCAAGCAGTTTCTTCACAAGTACTCGATAATTTTCCGGCAACTTTGATTCCCAAACAAAATCAGCTGAGGAAGCCCGATGAAAAACCCTATTCAAAACCGCCAATCTACAAATCTCAGGAGCGTCTAAACATGTTAGAATTAAAGCAACACAGCTCTCAGGTATCTCTCCAAGACCAGGCTTTGAAGGAGCTTCAATACTCTCTCTACCAAAATCAGAAAACCCAGCCCCCATATACAAGCTAAGCAACCTTCAAGAGACCAAGAAAACGGAGGAAAGAAAACCCAAAAAAATAGAGCGACCCACAACGCTATACCAAGAAGATATTTATGGGAGATGATCAATCTGGTAAGGGCTTGAAAATGGCATCACCATTTTCTTCGCGCGAGAGAGAGAAGGGAAGGGGGACCTGGAGAGAGAGAGAAGGAGAAGGAGAGAGAGAGAGAGATAGCTTTGTTCTTAGGAAAGAGAGAGATGGAGAGATAAAGGACGTGTAACGCGTGCTTTGGGTAAAGAACAGGTTTGTATTAGAGAGAGAATCAAAGCAATTTGATTACAAGTCATATGAGTGTGTAGGTCACCATGGGGACATTATGCTAAGCTACTGATGGAATGTCACGCGCTCCGAATGGGTGGTGTCTTGAAAATCTGGATATGATTAGTTATTGACTAATATACCCTTTGTCATCCACAATATCTTCTTCCTTTAATCGAATAAGGTCACCTTCAAAAAGAAAAAGAAAAAAATCGAATAGGGTCAATACTATTTAAGTCTCCATCTTTTGCATTATTACTTGAGCATGCCAAATCCAATACCACTTTCAAATTGAGACATCCACCGACCCACCCAGTCACTTGGTTTATTGAGACATGGCTGAGAAAGTTTGGTGGCAAAATGGGTCCTCCACTATGATTGACCACTTTTTGTTTTTGTTGTAAATTTTTATAATTATCATAATTCCCTCTCTAATAAAATCAGTCATCTAATCAAGTTTAAATTTAAGTACGTGAATCGTGTTGAGTGAGATAGGTTATCAGGTCTTAATGAGTTTGTGACAAAATATATATATATATATATATCACTCATATCTGATTTATTTATTAATTAATGACCAATGAATAGTGTGATATCAAATTCGTATTGTATATGAATCGTATATAATCAGTATATATTGAAGACGTATAATTTATTAATCGTGTTGCATTAAGTTCATTTGTTTGCGAAATGAGTGATTTAAGTAAAACTCAAATCCTTTAATTTTGTAGTGTCTTATTAATTAATTGTGTCATATTTTGACACCCCTAAATTTATTTCTGTATACATAAATTAAAACACAAGATAATTGAAGCAATTTATCCCTAAAATCATATATGAGCATCGTTGCAAAAGGAAAGCACTGTCATTAACAATTTATCAAGGGATATATTTGTCTATTAAAACACAATACCATGTTATTCACGTGATGATAATGAGTAGCCCATAGGCTTTGTTACCTATTTGGTTCCCTAAAGATAGGGGATGACGTGGTGCTTTTTCCTAGTCGTTAGTGCTTAACACTTAACATACTTTAGTAATAACCGCTTTATAGATTAAACAAATCTCAAGCAATTAATTATTTTGAAATTTCAATTTCAATTTTTTTTACTTATTTAAAAAGAGGGGGACAAAGGAGAGCGCCCAAAAATTACATGGATAAGTCATCACTGGTAGGATCATGAGGTCCTTGATCACAACTGTTACTTCTCTTAAAAACGAACGTAATTAGACTAATATAACAGTTAACCACCGAAACTCAATATGAATTTTAAGACTCAAACTTCTACCCTCAAGATAAGAAGTTCGGTTGGTACCTTACTAGACAATCCCACTCAGTGGTAAAATATATATATATATATATATATATATATATATATATATATATTATTTTTTGTTAGGGGTGTCTGGGCCAGTTTATGTGTATTTCGATTAATTATTTCCTTGATCCAATTAAAGAAAAATCATCCACATTGAGATTAAAGTATTCATAAAAAATAAATTATTAATTTAAAAATATTGTTAAGATTCGAATCTAGGACATCATTAAGGGTGTATCAATGGATAAACTTAAATTTAAAGATGGGCAAATTCAAATTTAAAGGTAGGTGAAATATGACCATTAAATTTTTTAAAACAGTAAAATTTGATCATTATAAATTTAAATAAATATTTAAATTTATATTAATTTGAGTAAAAAATTAAGCGTCTGCGACCTAATGATTGTAGTGGGAGAAATGAACCTTGACTATCGAGTTATGGACAATAGATGGCTCTGACCCATCCAGACCATGTGCGCGTGTGTGTGTGAGAGAGAGAACTTTGATATTGATTTTTATTTTTGTAAATCTTTGAATGTTGGTTTTGTAAACAATGTCAGCATCCTTTGAAATCCCTCAATTTTGGTGAAGTTGGTGGAATTCGGGGCAATGTTAGTTGTGTAATGAAAATCGTACAATCTAAATTTAATGTGTCACATTAAAAAACTTAGGAACGATTCTGGTTACGCCCAACTTGACCTAGCTCCAAGCTGCGCATTGGGCTACTTAGTTACTTTTGTGTTGTACAATCTTGATCCTGTGATCATATTGCTCGAACTCCACCAACTTCAAAGGATGTGAACTTAGAGATTCCAAACATGTCAAACCCTAATATTGTTGTATATGTATAGTGATGATGCAAAAAATAATTTTGTATACCACCTGTCAAGTGTAAGTAGTAAATGCAGTAATTAAAAGTAAAGAGAGTTGGAGGAGACAAGATTTATAATGGGTCGGTCAACGTGACCTACGTTCACTTTTGAATGACCTTGGTTGCCTAGTACTTTATTAGTTCAAGGGTGCAGGGAACAGAAAGTACAAGCTTAGAGAGAGAGAGAGGAGATAATCGTGCTCAATAGAGTGAGATCTTTTGTTGATGCCTTCCAAGTATTGGTGGGGCTAACAATTTATAGTCGCACTCCTAATATATTTGGGCGAAGTGCTAACAACTAAACAACTATTCTGGTAGAGCTGACGACTTCTTTTCAACGGGCAAGACAATTGAGGTGCTCTACATGAGACTCGGTCAGACTTTTTCCAAGGCGGTGAGGGAGAGACTTCTCATGACCCTTACTCCAAGGTGGTAGAAGAGGCTCTTGGATGACCCTTACATTCTCCTTGTTGATGTAACTCCTTAAACATGGTGAGCTTGTCCGGATGCAAACTTCTTTGGACTTGACTAACTAGACTTTTTGAAGTTGAGCCTTTGGCTTGTAACATGAGATAGGCCCTTGGACTTGACTCATTATATAGTGTATAATCAGAACTTAAGTTTTGATAAGAAACTTTTTATGTTTTGGAGAATCTTATTCTTCTTTCCTTTGGGAATTTTATGCTCTATACAGGTGAGTGTTGTTGAGTAAAAGGCGAATAAACTAAGTGCTCAATTTGCCCACTGTGTTTGCCATAATGTCTGACTGGCCTGACTGTCGATATTTATTAGCATGTGGGCTAGTTGTAGACATGTAGTAGTGTATGGGAATCACATGGCCATGCTCATGGAGCAATCTTATATTGCATGAGGATCCATGCTGGTTCTTTTGGTAAAGTTGGAAGATATAAGATATGAAGTAGGGCTATGTAGCTCCACTTCCTTTTTTGGTATGATGCTTAACTTTAATGACTTTACAAGCAATCAAATATTCTATAAGTTTATGGTTTGAAAAAATAGAGGGGTAGATAAAATATTATATATATTTTTTTTAAAAAGTCTAGGGATTATTTTTCCTTTCAGCCCACCAAATTTAGATTCTCAAAAAATCGGTGCAAAAATAGAAGGAAAGATAAACATGTATGTCGAAATATAGTTTGTTTATTTTTATACCTCTTTAACATTTATATTTTACTAGTCCATCAAATGTAAGTATTTGTATTTTCCCTTTTCTCCATTATTCATCCATCAAAAAAAAATCGTTCATTCTTAATTTTCATCTCATCTCCCAACCATAAAAGACAGAAGCAATGTATATTTCTTCAGAGAAATAAAAAATGTATCATTGCTATATTTTTTTTCTTCGATTCTACCAAGCTGAGTGTATAGTCAAAAATAAAATGTTGCTAGCATAGTTTTTAAACTCTCTCATTATGGTAATTGAATTATGGTACTTTGTATTTGATATTTATAAAACTCGTGATGCTTGTAATTATTTACAAATTTATTATGTGGTAAATCCTTATGGGTAATTTAGTGACTAAACCTGACCTTTGTTAATTTAGAGGTCTCATATTCAACACTCATATCTCCTAAGAGCCAATAACTCTTGTTTCTCAAGAGATAGGTTATACATCTGTTCTCATTACGGTGACTAGTAATCAAAATTGAGGGAATAATAAAAAAAAAATCATGTGGTATGGTCAATTAAAATGTTTCTTGTGATAGTCAAATTTGAGACTTCGCATATTAACCACTAGAATATCACGAGGTATTGAATCGCCAACAGTTTTATAACTAATCAAAAGGCTGGTTTTAGTCTCACTGTCTTTTTAGTCCTGAATGAAAACTTTCAGACTAGAATTATTCTTTATAGTTTAAGCCATCAGTCTAATAATTATTGTTGATACAAATTCTTGCACAATTCAAGGATTTTGGCTGACCTGGATTAACCCCTTAGACGATCCAGTGGGCATCCATTCTTAAGGGGCTTAGGCTTATAAGGGGGTGGGAGAGACGACTCTCAGTCAATGTGGGACGAAGCTCCGCACGGGCATTGAGAGGTGAATGCTATTGGGGGGTCGTCCAAGGGGTTAACCTAGGTTAACCAGAATCCTTGAGTTGTACAAGAATTTGTACCAACAATTATTTATTTACCAAAAGATGTGGACACGCAAATAAGTCAAGTCATTGGTGAAAGCAATTGAAAACGGAGCATACTAAACTTGTGTTTCAACCAAATTAGGGGAATTCTGCAAGTAGGATTAAAAAAATAATAAATTGATTCTTATTTGATTCTGATTTGATCACTCTTCTAGCTCGTTGGTTCTTTGCAAGTCTAACGTAGAATATATCCCGAACAGATTAATCAAGTTAGCTACTTGCGATTTTATTAATATTTACAAGCAATCTAGTTTTTTATAATTTCTTTCTCGTTTTTCATTCGTTTTCTCGTAAGAGTGGGTTGGAATATCGTACCTTAAAAAAATATCAATAATTGCATTATGGTGCAATGTCTATAAGGTAGAGAAAAAATGAAGTTGAGTAAGAAAGTCCAAGATATCAATTGATGCAAGCTGGCTGATCATAGAGATTTTGTCAATGCATACAAAATAAACAATAGAAATGGGTACACTCCCCCTCATAGATCAACATTATTTGGTGTGTAAGCTTGGAAAAATGGGTATTGAAAAAATGATTTCACATACATC